AATAAATCATATGCAACAAGAACTACAATGAATCAAAACTGGATCATATAGACAGGAAGATGGTTAGCCCTTCTGTTCTTCACAATGTCAACTGACTATTCTTACTCTCCCAAGTAATAAATCTGTTCAGCTTATTTTCCTTTATTTGCACAATAATCAGATTTTAAGCAGTTAACTGTCGTCTCTGCAGAACGACCCTGCTTACCACTAACTAATAGTTTTAAGTTGGTATTTATTTCTTTTGGGAGTGTCAACGACTCATTCACCACTTGTCTTTCAAAGCTAACCAGCAAGTAAAAAATGTTTGGGAATATTGTAAGAATTCCACACCAGTTTAGAAGCTCAGTATTTGCTGAGATGCCCCCTTAACCAGCTATAGCCTGATTTAGCTGTGTATTTTTCCCCCTGCTTGCCAATCCACAGTCACTGATGAACACCTTCATGAATCTTCTCTTGATTATCATCATCTTCCTCCAATGCCATCCACAGTCTTGTGGAGGTTGGTATGCCTCGATCTCTTTTCCCTTCAAATAATAAGAGTAAACCCAACGAATCCACAAGGTTTCTTATTTGCCGCAATGTCCCAGATTTGCTTGGCGATCATTGCTTGATTCCAGATTTCTGGACTTTTAACATGCAGACCACCCTCTCTCTTAATTCTACACACTTCATCCCATGTCACTAGTTGACCAAGCTCTTCCAAAGCCTTTTTTTCCCCCACAAAAAGTTCTACAAAGCCTTTTGATTTGCTCTATTACTGATTTAGGAATAAGAAAGATACATGCCCAATAAGGGTGAAGATTAAGCAGGACTGAGTTCATCAACACCAACCTCCCTGTGTAGGAAAGGTGTCTCATAGACCAGCATTTCAGTTTTGCAGTGATTTTTTCCACCACTAGCTGACACTCTCCCTATGACCACACAGTAGGTAAAATGGGGACATCCAAGTAACGTATTGGGAAATCATTGATCTTGAATCCCATTATGTTTTGGATTTGATCTTGTAACTCCTCATTTACACCACCAAAGTAAACATCAGATTTCTGAATGTTTACTATAAGCCATGTGGTATCTTCAACCTCCTTATGAACTGCTTTAATCTTCCTAATAGTGGGGATATCAGCTTGGCTTATGATGATTAGGTCATCAGCAAAACTCAAACTTACAATTTCTAGCTGCTCAGAGTAAGGGTGAAATTTAAAGCCTCCTTTCCTTATCTCTTTTTTAAAAAGTCTTGTAAGATACTCCATGACAATTACAAAAAGAAGAGGAGACAACGGACCCCCCTGCCTAAGCCCCCATTAGGGGTATCAGTTAATCAGGTCAACCCGAAGACCCGCCCAAACCGAACCCGTTTCAGGTCATACGGTTCAGTTAATCGGCCGAATTCGAGGCTGTGCGGGTCCGCCTGATTAACCGTATTAGGGTGCGGGGGGAAGAGAGATTACTCCGGCCATCGCCCGAAAACCCGAAATTATAAATATTTTTTTTATTTTTTAAATAATATTTATAAACCTAGGGTTGACTATTTCAGACCTCACTCTTTTTTTCCCTCTATAGCCGCTTCCCTCCTCTACAACAGACGCCACCCCCCAGTTTTTTCTCCACCTCTCTCGGCTACAACTCCCACCCCCAACCAATTCTCCACCTCTCTCGGCTACAATTCCCACCCCCAACCGACAACAACACCTCCTATCTGCAGAATTGGTGGCGGCGACAACTTACGACTCTTCAGCCACGCCCTTTTTTTTTAAATATTTTCTCAAATCTCCAATCCTCCAATTCTATAGCATCTAATTCTTCTTTCCCTTCATCCTAATTCTATCAAAATTGCCCAGATCTGACAAATTTTGACATCAACTGCTATAGCAATTGGCCACGATTTCAAACGAGACGATGAAAGTTTTTTTTTTTTTTGGGCTATAGCAACAATCGTCTAGATCTGACCAATTACAACATTTATCTGTTTGGGTTTTTTCATATTTTTTGTTCGTTTTTAAAGGATTTTGTAGGAATAAGAAGAATTTGTTGTATTTGTACAGCTGTTTAATTGGAAATAAGCTTTTGCTGTCAATTTTTTCGGAAGAGAAAGTGTTAAACATTATCTTGTGAACTTTCTCAAAAAAAAAAAAACAAAAAAGAAAAATAAAATTATGCGAGTGAACCGGAAACCAAACTTAAAACCCAATTTCTTTTTCGGTCGGTTCGATTCGGTGTTGTAGACCTTGCGGTTCGATTTCGGGCGGGTTTTGTGAGAAGAAAAAATCAATTAACCCGAACAGAACTGACCCGAACCAATCGAACCTGCTCGAACTGACAGCCCTAGCTCCCGTTTCCCCGGAAAGTAACCAGTTTCCTAACCATTTAAATTTAAAGTAAAACTGGCTGTGGTTACACACTCTAGTACCCAAGCTATAAATTTGGAGGGGAATTTCAAGTGTTGCAGCATTTCTTCCAGAAAGCTCGAAAGCACAGAGTCAACGCTTTTTTTCAGATCAACTTTCATGAGGCAGCACAGTTTAACATTTTTGCTTCTATACAAACGGATTAGTTATTGTGTGAGCAGTACATTATGGAGTATGGATCTATCCTTGATGAATTCCCCGTGGTTTAGGTCTATCAAGTCTGGCTGCACTTGACCTAGTTTTTTACTTAGCAGCTTAGTGATAACCTTGTATACCGTATTACAGCAAGCTATGGGTCTGTATTCCGTAGCATCTCTAGGGTTTGAGTTTTTAGGAACTAGGCAAATCTGAGTTGCATTTAACTGTCTTAAAAGTTTACCAGATTGAAAAAATTGAAGCACTGCATTACATACATCTACCCCTACAACATTCCAAGATGCCATATAAATCCTGCTATTGTACCCATCTGGCCCCGCACATTTGTTTATATCTATACTAAATAAAGCATCCTTGATTTTAGTAGTTGTGAAGCTTTTAATCAGGAGAATCTGTTGGTGTACAGACAGTTTAATCCTTGAATTATCTGCCGAAACTCTAGGTTTAGCCATACCAGGTAAATTATGATAATATTCAATAAAATGAGATTGTACCTGTTGCCCGTCCTCCACCAAGTTGCCATTCTGATCGGTGAAAGAAAGGATTTTATTCTGCGTTCTCCTTTGCCTAACACGTGCATGGAAGTATTTGGAATTTGCGTCCCTCTCCTGAATCCACTTTTCTTTTAGCCGTTGCTTCCAGTAAGCCATCACTGCTTTGGAGCTTCCTATGTATTCTCTTATCAATCTCTTTCCTTTTCCTACAACTAAATGTTGTTTGGCTCATTTTGCAAATGATTTTGAACTGCCTCTAGTTCAAGCCTATTTCATTGTTCTAGATTTTCTATATCATTAAAGTTGGTTATGTTGAGCTCTCTGAGTTTTGGCTTTAAGGATTTTTGTTTTTGGACCAAAATGTATTGCTTTGTACCTCTTTCTTCTATGTGCCAATGCCTTTCAACCAGAGAAGGATAACTCTGATAAAGTGTCAACATGTTGTAAAATTTGAAGGGCTTGTTTCTAATTCTTGATTGGTGAGCCCATTTCACTATAGATTTAGTGAGATTTAGTTGCATAAATTTTTCAATTTCAACCAAGAATTAAATAACACACAACTCTTTGGAATTTCTATTTTTTTTTCCTTCAAAAGTTCAAACATGAAAAAAGTCCGACTCAGATGTTTGTTTCTTTTTGTGTACGAGTAAAAGTACTTTTTTTAATGCAAATTTACATATCATTTGTAGTGTCAATTAACATATAACTAGATATTGTGAAGACATCAAAATACCATAGATGATCAAAAGATTTACTTACGAGAAAAAAGGTTTATTTATTTATATTATAGAGGCTGGACTGATCACAGCCAAAGCGCAAAAATTGCGCACAATTCCAAGATAGGAACAAAAGGAACAAAAGACTAAAAGGAGCTTGGCTTTTCCTGCATCCACAACTCGGAGTAGGAGAAGGTCGTCCCTGAGGAGGAAGTGGCAGACTTCCATCTTTCCGGGGGAAGACTTGAGAGCCTTGAATGCGGGGTGCTGTGCCGACCACATGGAAGTGTCCATGTGGTAGAAGGCCAAGAACAGCCCGGCGACCTCCTTGAAGTGGACAGTGGGAAGGCGCAAGAGCGACTCAATATTTTCGGAGGGCTAAAGTGAATACAAAATTAAGGCCTCTCAAATATAGAAAAATAAATATATAATAAATTATTATAAAAGTACAAAAAGAAATTGTTTGATATATTTATTCAAAACTAAAATTTTTAGATGTTATCATATAGCACCGCAAACTTAAATATTATTTTCATTTACTTTTCCTTTAGGATTTCGTGAAAAACTAACTGGTAATTTTTTTTGCACGTAAAATGCATGTGAATTGACCGAAGGACATTATATGTCCATCATAAAAATTTGATGCAAGTCTTCTGTATCACGTGAAATACTTGTGAATTTACAAAAATTTAAATTTCATATGGATACACAATACCGTTCGATCAATCCACGTGCATCTCAAGTGCAAGGAGCTGACTATTAATTTTTTCACAAAACCTAACAGAAAAGTGATAGAAATACTACTTAAGTTTGTGATTTTATATAATAACATCTGAAACTTATACTTTTGAATGCATATAGAGTTTTTGGTATTTTTGGAATAATTTATTGAAAGATTTAAAATTTATAAACCTTCTTTATTCTGATAGATTTGTAAACATTGAGTAGTTCCTTTGGTGGTTGGATAGATTACGAGTGAATGTGATTTATAAACATTATAAAGTTCTTTATTTTAATTTATTTTAAATAGGAAAATTGATTTGTTGGATATAACTAAAAATATTAAGCGAATTTAGGAAAAAGAGAACTCCAAATTTGTGAAGTTTAAATTGTGTTTGAAAATTTGTACCCTTTTTGTTTTATTTTAAATTGTAGTCTATTTAATTTAATTTAATTTTTTAAGGTAGTATGATAATATTAATTTTTGAAAATTTAGGGGTTTTCCCAAAATGGGGGCCGTTTTGCTTCGTTGGTTTTATAGGAAGGTCGGTCCTGGCAAGGCGAGAGGACGACGAGTGGCAGAAGTAGATCAAGACCATGGAGTAAAGGTCATGGCACATCACCGTAGATGCGTTGCGACCACTCAAGTCGATCGTGGAAATGGTAAGGGGCTTGTTTCCCGCCGACCCTGCCGCAGGTGGTGCTGAGAAGGCGCGAAGGAAGTAGTTCCCAGTGCCGCCTTAGAAAAGTCCACTATGGACTCGAGCGACTTGGCACAGGTTGCATTCTCCATTGATGTTCCGTTGCAGTAGAGTATGTTTTCTACATGTTCCGCTGCACAACATCATTGGCGAAGAAGTTCGAAAACATATTTTCGAGAGTGGCTTCCCTCAGAACCATGCCGAAGGCAAGGTCTGAGGGTAAGAAGAAGTTTGATGAAGGGTATATACTCATTGTCGGAAAACGTAAAGGTTCCCCGAGGCGAAGATCCGACAAGTTGAAGTAGCTTCCAGTTTGTTGAGAAAGAGAGAAAAAAAGAGCAGAGATTTTTTTAAACGTAAAATTTTTATTAAAAGAGGGTTATATTTTATTTTGTTGAGAAGTCTAATTTATAAACAACTCCACAGTAACAAAAAGAAAAAATAACTCTTCAAATCCTAAGTTATCTCTAAAGATAATACTAAAAAATTTTCAAAACTAATCATAATCTAAACAAATCTATGTAAATCTAAATCCTAAGAAACAATTTATTCATCTAAATTAAGTCTTTGAAGTAAAACAAATAATTTAACCAACAAATTTCCTTTCTTTTATTTTTTTTACTGCAAATCCTTGCATCTTCAAACCAAGTCTTCATTTTCATTTCCATCTTCATTTTCTTCATTCAAAAAATTAATTTGTTGCTAGTTCTTTCACACTTTTTCCATGTATCGCATTTGTTTGCAATCCCCTACACTGAACATCAGTTCTAAACCAACAATATTGTGGTAAATGAGAAGGTTTCTTACAGTGTTTATAAGAAGGATATGTTCCTTTGCTGTCACTATCTCCATCTGTCTTCCTATTTCACCTTTTACCTTTAGCTATTTCGTCCACTTTATAAACTTCCTCAATAACATTTACTTTTTCCTTTCTGAAAACTCTTCTTTGCTCTTGAGCTTCAAAGGTTGAAAGTAGTTCTGCTAGAGATATTTCTGATATATCTCTAGTTTCTTCTAGGGATGAAATCTTGGACTCAAATCTTTCTGGTAAAGCCACCAATATTTTTTCAACAACTCAGCTATCTGGAAGTTGTTCTCTTAAAAGTCTGATTTTATTGACTACCTTCATTAATCAATCTATGTAGTTGTTCAATGCCTCTGTCTCCGACATCTTCTGCATCTCAAATTCCCTTTTCAAATTCAAGATTTGCATTTGCTTTGTCTTCACATTGCCTTGATATTCTTGTTTCAAAACATCCCATGCCTATTTCGCAGTCTCACACGCCATGATTTTTGTGAACACCTCTTCTGATAGAGCAGAGCGAATACAGGTCTTGGCTTTATTTCTCCTCTTTTTAGCCTCCCTAAACTCTTTTAGTTGTACAATTGTTGGATCTTCAGGAAGTGGTTGAAATTCATCATTTTCCACAAACTTCCATCATTCATTTGCTTGTGGATAGGCTTCAATTTTAACCACCCAAATATGATAATTTTCTCTTTTAAAAACTGGAGGAGCAGACATGAAATCATGTCCTCCTTGCATTGATAAAAGAAGATTGGCTAAAACAGATTTCGTTGTTAGAAAGGTCCTTACTAATTCACTCACACATGTCCCTCACTAAAAAAGATTTTCTCCTAACATGTGAACAATTAACTAATCTACTGTAGCAAATTTCGGGGGCCACAAAAGCTAATACCTCAAAAATTAACCTAAAAGTTGACAAGATCTTTTGAGGTAAAAGAATTCCTTTTTGAATAGGTGAAGGCAGACCTGAATTTTTTTTTTTTTTTACTCCTTTTAGGGTCGAGGGTTCTGCTAAGCAGCGGTGAAAAGGGGAAAAAAGTGGATGAAACTTAGAAAGCTTCCTTTGAAATTGATTTTATATTTATGTAAAAAAAATTAGATTTTAGTTTTTAGTAAAAAGAAAAATTAATAATTTAGAAGATGATGTGGAATGCCAATTAAATAGACATGTAAGTAGAATTATAAGAAGTAGAGTTATATTTGTAAGATTTATGTGGACTTTATACACAAATATATATATATATATATATATATATATATTATAAGCTATCTTAAAGTACCGGCCCAATTAAAGTGATCTAATTAAGTATACTTAAGTTCGGGCTTATGATAATAAATTAGAGTGTGGTCCAGTATTATGTAGAAACCCTAAAGCCCAGTTTCCTGTTCTGTGATGGGTGGAACCGGAAACCCTATTACATATTGGTTGGTTGTGGTCCCCGGATGAGCCGTCATGTCAAATCTTTGACTCCCCATTTGTCAGAGGTTCCCGCAAGGGCATGACGGAATCATCTGGAAGACCAAACCGGATCGATGTTATTGCCGCTACAGATTAAGGTACGCTTCCGCTTTTGTATAGTTCTCAATAATTTGATGTAAAGGTCTCTACAGTATTTGGATTATTCCAACAATATTTTTAAAGAAGAATATCATTACTAATTTCTTAATTGTAAAAGAAAAATAATTAGTTCTGTGTGGCGTTTATGGCTTGGTAGAAATGACAGGATTTTTAATACTGCAATAATCAACGTGGAGCAGAAGAAAAATGAAATCATAGCATGTGTTAGTAGTATTCGCAGGTCCTTGATGCATGAGAAGGTGGCTGGAGTTGGTGGCAAAAGATGGGAGTTGAGATATAATCGATGGAATCCCCCTCCAGTAGGATGGTGTAAAATTAGCTCGGATGGATCCTTTATTGGTGAGTCAGGAATGGCTGCGGCTGGTGGCCTAGTCAGAGACAATTTTGGCAGGTGGGATGTGGGGTTTGTGATGAATATTGGTTTTTGTTCTATCTCTGGTACGGAGTTGTGGGGTTGTTTTAAGGGTTTAAATTGGTTTGGGATCATGGATGCCGGCATGTGAAGGCGGAGGTTAACAGTCAATGTGTCGTTACTTTTGTCCAATCCCGGGATGAGTATTTAGGTGCCCATAATAGTTTGGTCCGTGGGATAAGGGAGTTGATGGCATGAAATCGGGTTGTCCAGCTTGAACACGTCTATGGGGAGCCGAACTTCGCGGATGATGTTCTTACCATCGTAAAGTGTTAATTCCTTAGTCTTATACCTTCTTCTTTATACCTGATGAAGTATAGATCTGCACGGTGGCTTAAGACGGGCAGCAACGATGATCTAAGCAGCGGCAGACGGCCTAAAACCTGTAAGATAGAGTCTCGGGTATCTCCCGAAGGTAGACTCTCTGATGCTTAAGTCAATAAAAGAATCGAGACAATAGAGAGAGAGATATGTGTATCGTGTGTACAAGATGTAAAAAATAGGTAGAAGATATAAATTATGAGAGAGCCACCACCTATTTATATAGAGGTGGTGTTACCTGTTTCCTGAAACCCTAGTGGAATAGGTTTTGGCGGTGGCTTAATCTCCAAGTAACCTAATCCTAAGTCCAACAGGCCTAGGGTTCAGTTTGGACTTGTCAAGTGCCCCTAGCAAGCCATATTCTCGAGGTTCGTCGAGAAGAATATGGGTTGCTACGAGTGTTGATGTCTTCTCGAGGTTCGTCGAGAAGAATATGGGTTGCTACGAGTGTTGATGTCTTCTCGAGGTTCGTCGAGAAGAATATGGGTTGCTACGAGTGTTGATGTCTTCTCGAGTTTCGTATTGTTGCCCCGGTTCTCGAACTCTTTTGTTCTCAGGTGTCACCCATATAAAATAAAGAGAGTAGAATGTCTTGAGGAGGCCTTTGTGTTAGTGAATTCCTGTTTAGGAGGGAGAAGTCTGTATCTGCAAAATTAGGAGGATGGCGCCTAGATGCCGAATTGGAAGGATGGCGCCTGGATACCGAATTGGGAGGATGGCGCCTGGATTTCCTTATTTGAAGAGAGGAATCTTGGAGGCCTTTGTGTTAGTGAATTCCTGTTTAGGAGGGAGAAGTCTGTATCTGCAAAATTAGGAGGATGGCGCCTAGATGCCGAATTGGAAGGATGGCGCCTGGATACCGAATTGGGAGGATGGCGCCTGGATTTCCTTATTTGAAGAGAGGAATCCTATACGTTTGGATGTTTGAGATGCGATAGATAATGTAATAATATAGTGACATATAGTAATAAGATGACTATGAGTAATGTCAAGCAGAAGATATTAGGATGATCCCTCAAATTTCTTGCCCCAAGAGTATGTCCCTGTTTGTGCCCCCGAGTACGTTTTCCTTGTTGAAGGGTGATAAGGTTTTACCGCGAGAGGGTTGGTAACTTAAAGAACTCTTTTGATCGTGCTCAAAAAGATATCGTGATGTGATAATAGTAATATGCTAATGATATCAGCAGTAGATTGATTTAGATTCGAGAAATATATTTAAAAAAGGTTTGAGAAGTAACTCGATCTCGAGATAAATTAATTATAGAGAAGGGATTACCTCGAATCCAAGAAGATATTATGAAAGTCGATATACGTCTTCTCGAACACTTCGAGTAGTAGTATATTGCTCGAGGGATGCTTGCCTCTTCTCGAACACTTCGAGTAGTAGTATATTGCTCGAGGGATGCTTGCCCCTTCGAGGAGATGTATCTCTCGAAACTTTAATCCTTGAAATTTCCCTTGCTTCGAAATACTTGAGAGATAATCTGTAATATTATAAAAGTATTAGGGTTCATAAACCATACGATAAAAAGTATAAGGGTTGAATTTCAAATTTTCTAAAATTGTTGAAATTCTTTTTGGTTGATCCTCATGCCCCTTGTCGGCCTGTTTGTCGGTTTCTTTAGGTCGTTATGGAAGTCAACAGCGTCTTCATCGGCTTTGTCATCGGCTGGAGCAACTCGACAAAAACGTTGGCAGAACTGTCGACGATCGGATCGTCGATCGAAGGAAGTCGACGCTTTTCAATATGGGAATTTTCAAATTCTTGATTTTGACTTTCACGTACATAGATTTACATATCAAATCAACCCGATGATTACCATGAAGAATAAAAAAATTCCTGCTTCTTTTCAAGAATATTTGGTTGTGAATACCAAAAAAATCGGTCCTAACGAGCGTGCCACTTGACGAACCATGGATCTGCACGGTACCTTAGGACGGGCGGCAGCAATGATCTAGGCGACGGCAGACGGCCTAAAACCTGCAAGATAGAGCCTCAGGTGTCTCCCGAGGGTAGACTCTCTGATGTTTAAGTCAATAAGAGAATAGAGAGAATAGAGAGAGAGGTATGTGTATCGTGTGTAGAAGGTGTAGAAGATAGGTAGAAGATATGAATTATGAGAGAGGCACCATCTCTTTATATAGAAGTGGTGTTACCTGTTTCCTGAAACCCTTGTGGAATAGGTTTAGGCGGTAGTTTAATCTCCAAGTAACCTAATCATGAGCCCAATAGGCCTAGGGTTCAGTTTGGACTTGTCAAGTGCCCCTAGCAAGCCATATTCTTGAAGTTCGCCGAGAAGAATACGGTTTGCTACGAGTGTTGATGTCTTCTCGAGTTTCGTGTTGTTGCCCCGGTTCTTGAACTCTTTGTTCTCGAGTATCACCTATAGAAAATAAAGAGAGTAGAATGCCTCGAGGAGATCTTTGTGTTAGTGAAACCCTGTTTAGAAGGGGGAAGCCTATATATGCTAAATTAGGAAGATAGCGCCTAGATGCCGAATTGGGAGGATGGCACCTGGATGCCAAATTGGGAGGATGGCGCCTGGATTTCCTTATTTGAACGGAGAAAACCTATATGTTTAGATGTTGGAGATGTGATAGATAATGTAATAATGTAGTGACATATAGTAATAAGATGATTATGAGTAATATCAGTTCAGGCAGAGGATATTAGGATGATCCCTCAAATTTCTTGACCCAAGGGTATGTCCCTGTTTGTGCTTCCGAGTACGTTTTAGTCGTTGAAGGGTGATAAGGTTTTATCGCGAGAGGGTTGGTAACTTGAAGAACTCCTTTGATCGTGCTCAAAAAGATATCGTGATGTGATAATACTAATATGCTAATGATATCAGCAGTAGATTGATTTAGATTCAAGAAATATATTAAAAAAGGTTTGAGAAGTACCTCGATCTCGAGATAAATTAATTATCGAGAAGGTGTTACCTCGAATCAGAGAAGATATTATGAAAGTCGATATACGTCTTCTTGAACACTTCGAGTAGTGGTGTATTGCTCGAGTGATTCTTGCCCCTTCGAGGAGATGTATCTCTCAAAACTTCAATCCTCGAAATTGTTCCTTGCTTCGAAGGACTTGAGAGCTTATCTGTAATATTATAAAAGTATTAGGGTTAGTAAACCATAAGTAAAAAGTATAGGGGTTGAATTTCAAATTTTATAAAATTGTTGAAATTCTTCTGGTTGATCCTCATGCTCCTTGTCGTTATGTTCATCGGTTTGTTTAAGTTGGCATAGAAGCCGACAGCGTTTTCATCGGCTTCATTGTGGGCTGGAGCAACTCGACAAAAACGTTGATAGAACTGTCGTCGATCGAAGGAAGTCGACGCGGAAGTCGACGGTTGTCAGTATGGGGATTTTCAAATTCTTAATTTTGGCTTTTGCGTACATGGATTTGCACATCAAATCAACCAAATGATCGCCATGAAGAACAAACAAATTCTAGCTTCTTTTCAAGAAATATTTAGTTGTGAAGACCAAACAAATGGGTCCCATGATATGAATAAAAAATATATGTGATTCCATACCTTTTTTACTTATATATAGACTCATTAAATGGTGTTAACATGTAAAAATGCACATATCTTATGTTTTGTGGTCTTCTATTGTAGAACAAATGATTCATGCAAAATGGTTCGGAAATGGAGTAAAAATAACAATCAAAAGGCCAAAAATTCACAAGTGTTGATCAACGGTGAATGGTCCACTTTGAATGGTACATAACTTGAGCTAGAAGCCTCCGTTTGAAGCCAACCAAATACGCCTACGAAGCTCATAGTGGGAACTACAACTTTTATGCAGAGCACTTCTTCAAATTCAAGCGTCTTAATGATCAAAACTGCAGTTGAAGTCTCATATGTCAGAACTGAACCCTTAAATTTGCCGAAGTTCAGCAATATTTAGTAAAATTGTAGAGAGCGTAACTTGATCTTCAGAGCTCAAAATTGGATGTTCTTTATACCGATATGAAGCAAAAAGAGAAAGCTAAAGCTTTCACCAGGACCACTTCTCCTAATTCAGATGATAAAATGGTAAAAAATGCAAATGAATTTCAGTCGTCAGATATGTTCAGAAAATTTGCAAATTTTCAGGAGAACTCATCCACCTGTCAGAGGTCATAACTCTCGATCCACAACTCAAATTTCAGTGTTCAAGATACCATTGTGAAGCTAAGAGAAAGATCTATAACTTTTGTGAAGAAAGAAGTTCCAAATCCAGACTCTATGCAGGAGAAAAAGGGCAAAGAATTCGTTCTCTCAAACTGAAAACGGGAGCATTTCATCAAACACTTGAAAGACCGCATTGTTTCATCTTTTGTTTGAATTGAAGACTCACACCACAGGTTGAATGAATCTTGTGTGGTTATAGGCGAGATCAGGAGATGAATTTTGGTGTTGAATTTGCGGTTAGTGGCTCACAAATCGGACAAATCCGACCGGATAATCGGAGTTGAAGATTCCGGCGCCGACGAGTACTTCATCGGGGAAGAAGGAAGAATTTTCAAAACATTTGCAAAATAAATCCTCCCTTCCCAAGGTGTTTGCATCGAAGAACCTGAACTTTCTTGTAAACAAATGCTCTTAAGAAAAGTGGCTCGGAATTTCAAATAAAGGCCGAATGGACCCATGATTCTTATGCATTCGAGTCCTTAAAGTTTTCCATTGATCCACTTTTGCCCCACTAGCTGAATGACTTTAAATAGATTTTTTTGACCACGAATTGGGGAACTTTTGACACTCCAAACTCACTCTAAGCTTAGTTTTCTAGGGTTTTCTTATCTTAGCATCAAATTAGATTAGTTTTGTTCATTTTGTACACTATTTTGGAGCAAGAATTCAAGATTAGCTATGGATGGACATGGAAATGGTGTTTTTGTTGGATTTTGGTGATTCTCCATCTTGAAAGAAAGTGGTAACACCTCCCCTCTTTATCCCATTCTAATGTCTTGTTTATTATTAATCTTGGATGGTTTTTCTTTGATAATGAGTAGCTAAATGTTCTTGAACTCCTAAGATTGAGGATGGGTAGTTGAGATTTCCTATATCCATGTTGATTATTGTTATGGGTTGTGTTTATTAAGTCCATTAATAAGGTTAGTGTAGGAGATGCATGTTATTTGATTTGATCATTCAAATGGTGTGTTATTAAACTCTCTTGAATGACTCTTTATCTTCATGAGAGCATGAATTGGTTAACAAAACTCTGTTAAACCTCATTTAGGCATAGATAGGTTGAAAGGGTGAATAAAGAATGTTAATTGGGTTAATTAAATTGGCTAAGTCACCTAGGCATAGGGGTTTAGTCATACAATTCTAGGAACTAGGAATAGAACCTAGAGTGAAAAATAAACATCATTCCTTAATTAACATGATCTTAACATTAATTGGCATGGATTAAATAGTTAAAACTACCCTAATCATATCTTAGGAGTTACTTCCACGTTGTCCATTGTTGTGTTAATTGTTTTCTCTCAATTTTCATCTATAATTTAGACTCCATATTTCGTTTATTTGGCTAGTTTATCGTAGTATTCTAGTAGAATTTTCTTATAAGACTTTTGAAAACTTTAACTCTTTCTCTTTATTACCTCCGTTTTGTGGTTACTGTAATTTAAAGTAATAAGAGATTTCAACTTCACTCTAACCAACATTGTAAACTCCGACTCCTCGTGGGATCAACCCTCCTACCACTACTACAACCCAAAACGTATCCTTGCATTTGAGTGGTATAAGGTTATTTTGTTCTTGAATTGCACATATTTTAATAACCTAAAATACCCCGCTTCATCCCACCGGGCGTGTCACTTGACGAAACATGGATTTGCATGGTACCTTAGGATGGGCGGTAGCAATGATCTAGGCGGCGAGAGACGGCCTAAAACCTGTAAGATAGAGCCTCGGGTGTCTCCTGAGGGTAGACTTTTCGATACTTAAGTCAATAAGAGAATAGAGAGAATAGAGAGAGAGATATGTGTATCGTGTGTAGAAGGTGTAGAAGATAGGTAGAAGATATAAATTATGAGAGAGACATCACTTTTTTATATAGAAGTAGTGTTACCTGTTTCCTGAAACCCTAATAGAATAGATTTAGGCAGAGGCTTAATCTCTAAGTAACCTAATCCTTGGAACAATAGGCCTAGGGTTCAGTTTGGAGTCGTCAATACTAAAAAAGAAAAATAGTTAAAAAGGAACTATATGGGAAATGGTGAGTACATACAAATTAAACCCAGCCATGAAATACCTGTATTTCATAAAACCGTGTGAACGTTTGAAAATAATGGTTTTATGAAATGAACTTGATTTTTGTTTCAAGTTTGAAACAATTAATACATGTGGGTTAGAAGTCACCGAGGTTAATTGTTATTATGTCAAAGAAACTAAATGCGAAAAACTTGAACATGTGATAAACTGAATATTCCACAAAAGAAAGAACAAAAAATATTTTAAAAAATTAGAAAAAAAATCTACACACTCAAGAATGGAAATTGAATTAAATTTCAGAATAACTAAGTGCCCAATGTCTCTCTTTTTGTTGGGACGATTATCTTCCTCGGATACATAATTGTAACAATTGGATTTCTAACGGAGAACATTCCTTATTAATTTGCATCCATATGAGAGAACCTTGAGCTGTGATTGGCAAATGGTTAGGACTTGACAGTGCACTAAACCAAGTCGCAAACTTAGCCAAGATTTGAATTTGGCTGGCAAATTATTGTCTCTAGCTAAAAAGACAAATATCGGTCTACAAATAAAAGTCCTACATTTGTTGTAGGGTCAACAACGAGTACTTGAGTTCGAGCGGGAGGAATGGAAATTTGAACAAAAACAGTGTTCGTAATTGTCTTTATTAAGAGATTCCTTTAGACCTAAAAAATCAAAATCTCTTCTGTATCATACATTCCAATTAATGTATACACTCTGATTAAACTTTACATTTGTACTACTACCTAACTCATGGTTTCGGTTTCCATGAAGATGAAATCTCCGCGACGGCTTCGCCAACAGTAAGATATAATCCCTCCAATCCAAAACCCTCCAAGATCTTCGAATGTTGCAGCTTCTCCATGACGCTGCTGACAGGATTTATGAGCACAAGTTTCAGTGATCGTTTCTCCAGAGCTTTTCTGAGTTCACAAACCATATCAATGCCACTTGTGTCGATGGCCGTTACGGCTGTCATGTCGAGAATTATACATTTCAGATTGGCACCATTTACTTCCTGAATTCTTTCTTCCTCCTCTTGAACCCATCTCAAGATCCTTTCTTGTAGGTAAGTGGCATTTGCAAAGTAGAAAGGAGCTTCAACAGCTAGTATAAGGAAGGAAGGAACCCTAAAAGCTTCTTTGTATCTCGTAATGTCATGATAAATTTGAGTCCCGGAAATGTTTCCCAACACAAGTGTTTTTGGTCTTGTAACATGTAATAAAATTTTGAACACCGAAACTCCAACCGCGATGGCAAGGCCGACGGGTACTGAGATGAAGAGAACGCCGAGGAAGGAGGCCAAGCAGGCCGCGAAATCGAGTTTGTCGACTATCCAGAGTCGAATGGCTGCCTGAAAATCGATTAGGCCGATCACGGCTGTGACGATGATTGCTGCCAGGATGACATTTGGAGTGTACTGGAACAATGGCATGAGAAACAACAAAGTTATGAGGACTGTTGCCGCCATTACTACATTCGAGGCTAGGGTTTTCGCTCCGGCGTTGTAATTGACCGCGGACCGAGAGAACGAGCCTGTGGTAACATAACAGGAACAACAAGAACCAGCCATATTCATAAAACCAATGGCCATCATTTCCTTGTTTCCATCAACTTGGTAGTTCTGCAAGGCGGCAAAAGTCCGGCCGACCGCGATTCCTTCGGTTAGAGACAAGATTCCTGTGACAATCCCAGTCTTAATGGCAACAGCAAGAAAAGGGCCGTTGAAAAATAACATCTTTGATGATGGTGGATTCAACCCCTTAGGCAACTGTCCAATTGTTCTAATCCCTCCACCAAGCTTTGATTTGAGCAAAAACACCAAAAGAGTTGACAGAACAACAGAAGCTAATGGACAGGCTGCCGAAATCCAGAAGAGCCTGGGGTTTCTAATGCTTATGTGTCTTGTGAAGAGCAATAGGCCAAGAAAGCAAACGCCCATTACAATAGTTTGCCAAGACCATTCATCTATATGCTTGAAGATAGACGTTAATACAGGAACAATTTGCATCTTGCTTGTGAAGTGAACTATTCCAAGTAGCGCTTTTAGTTGTTGCAAAGATACTATAACAGCCGCACCAGCCATGAATCCGACTAACGTCGCTTTTGATAGGAAATCGATTATAAACCCTAACCTGAACACCCCCAAAGATGCTTGAAATACTCCGGCGAAGAAAGTGGCGGTGAAAGCCAGTTGAAGATAAAGCTTCGGTTCATTGGCAAAAGAAACCTCCTCGCTGAGCATTGTACCCATCACCAAAGAAGCAATGGAAGCCGGACCAACTCCAAGATGTTTTGAACTCCCAAGAACAGAATACACCAACGGCGGGACGAAACTCGAATAAAGACCGGTTATTGGAGGCAGGTTTGCGAGTTTGGCGTAACTGATTCCCTGAGGGATTGCGAGGCTGGCTATGGTTAGCCCGGAGATGAAATCAGACCGCAAAAGGGCAAAGCTATAATTCGGCCCCCACTGGAAGATGGGAAACACATATTGCAACCCGATTACGAACTTGTTGATCCAAGTTTGGTTCTTGAACTTATGAAGCGGGTCGTCGGGGAAAAATATCTCGGAAAGCCAGTGCCGCAGTTTCTGTAGATTGGTTTTCTCCGGCGGCATGCAAACTCGGTGGTGCACTGCTACTTCTGAAGATGGAATTGTTATGGCGATTTCGACTCCGTTGGAAGTCATAACCGAAGAAAATTGATCAACCCTAGTTGTTGTTTACGTGATACCCGCAATAAACTCTACTACTAGAAAAATCGATGAAAACCTAATCCTGATGAAACTCAACTACATAACGTTGTTAAATTAGAAACACAGTTCAACTCCCATTTCCACATATGAAATTGATTAGTAGTTTCGATACAACTCAAACAACCGACCTTAAAATAATTCGGTTCTTAGTTTATTTCGAAAAACAGAGAAAAGACTAAAATGAAATCCGGTTCCTACGTAGATTATATAACTTGATCATGAGACTATAAATACGAGGCACAGCTAACCATTCTTCGTTTACTCAACCAACAAAAATTGTCGAAGCAGTTTCTTCCAAATGATTCAATCTCTCTTGTGAATTGTGATTCTTCTTTCAAGTTAATTTCTTCAACCCTTGTCTCAAAGGAACCAGAGAATATGGATCACTCCTCCAGCAACAACAGGGGCGATTCAATAATCTCTGAAGAACGGTACAAGAAAACTGATGGGGACGATGATCCTAACGGGTCTGTGGAGAGAAGTTTCGAGTCAGTGGAGGTGCCACCATGGCAGAGCCAGCTTACAATTAGGGCTGTTGTAGTAAGCTTTATCCTGTCGATCATGTTTACCTTCATTGTGATGAAGCTGAATCTCACAACCGGAATCATCCCATCCCTCAATGCCTCAGCTGGATTGTTGGGATTCATCTTTGTCAAGTCATGGACAAAGGTCCTTGAGAAATCCGGGTACTTGAAACAGCCGTTCACCAGGCAGGAAAATACCGTCATCCAGACCTGTGTCGTTGCCTCTTCCGGCATAGCCTTCAGCGGAGGCTTCGGCAGCTATCTTTTCGGTATGAGCGATCCGATTGCCAAACTGTCTGGTGATCCTAAATCTGTAATGGATGTTAAGAACCCATCATTGGGTTGGATCTTTGCTTTTCTCTTCCTTGTCAGCTTTCTCGGGCTCTTCTTGGTGGTTCCCCTGAGGAAGATTATGATTATAGACTTCAAGCTGACTTATCCAAGCGGAACTGCCACTGCTCATCTTATCAACAGTTTCCATACTCCGGAGGGTGCCAAGCTGGCGAAGAAGCAAGTTCGGAAACTCGGGAAGTACTTCTCCTTCAGCTTCCTTTGGGGATTCTTCCAATGGTTCTTCACGGGAGGTGATGGTTGTGGATTTGCCAACTTCCCAACTTTCGGTATGAAAGCGTTTGAGAATAGATTCTACTTTGATTTCTCTGCGACTTATGTTGGTGTCGGGATGATTTGTCCGTATATTATCAACATCTCTTTGCTTCTTGGAGCAGTTCTTTCGTGGGGGGTAATGTGGCCCCTGATTCACCACAAAAAGGGAGATTGGTATCCTTCAACAGAGAAAGAGAGCAGCCTTCATGGGTTACAAGGTTACAGGGTGTTCATCATGATAGCCATGATCCTTGGTGATGGCGCTTACAACTTTATCAAAGTCATTATAACCACTGGGCGTGCTATATATCGTCAATCCCGAAAAACTACAGTTGATGATTCCAGCCTCCCTGTTAGCTGTTCTTCGAGCCCTCCAGGAACCGAAAAACCATTGATTTCCTTCGATGAAGAACGCCGAACCAAGATGTTTCTCAAGGATCGAATCCCGATCTGGGTTTCTATCACTGGATATGTTGTGATTGCCATCATCTCCATCATAACTCTCCCATTCATCTTCCACCAGCTCAAGTGGTACCATATTTTCGCAATGTATATCTTAGCTCCTGTTCTAGCCTTCTGCAATGCATATGGATGTGGTCTTACGGATTGGTCATTGGCATCTAGCTACGGAAAGCTGGCAATCTTCATAATTGGAGCCTGGGCGGGCGCATCTCACGGTGGCGTTCTTGCGGGATTAGCCGCCTGTGGAGTCATGATGAACATCGTTTCCACCGCATCAGATTTGACTCAGGACTTCAAAACAGGTTACATGACCCTGGCTTCTCCAAGGTCCATGTTTGTTAGCCAAATCATCGGAACCGCCATGGGTTGCATAATATCACCTTGTGTATTCTGGCTCTTCTACAAGGCCTTTGCTGATATGGGAACTCAGGGTTCCACATATCCCGCTCCTTATGCTCCCGTTTACCGGAACATGGCGATTTTGGGCGTCGAAGGGTTCGGGTCATTGCCGAAGTACTGTATAACTCTCTGCATTGTTTTCTTCGTTGGAGCAATGGTCATCAACGGCATAAGGGACTTGGTGGAACACTATGCGGGAGAGAAGTATGCTGGGTTTATTCCTCAACCGATGGCGATGGCGATACCGTTCTATCTTGGATCCTACTTTGCGATTGATATGTGCCTTGGAAGCTTGATTCTGTTCGTCTGGGAAAAGAAGAACAAGGCAAAAGCCGATGCGTATAAATCTGCTGTGGCTGCTGGACTGATTTGTGGAGATGGACTCTGGACATTACCAAGTTCGATCTTGGCTCTGGCTGGTGTTAATCCGCCCATTTGCATGAAGTTCCTGTCGAGGTCGGACAACACCAAGGTCGACAACCTCTTGGCCGGTTCTTGATTTCTCTAGCACATCTTGCGATCAGATTAATTATAAGTACTTTTTATTGTTGTGTTTACCTTTTTTTAAAATTTAGGATTAGCTTTGCGTCTTTATTATTCTGTCCAAGTCCGGTTTAGCTGCAATTGTTAGCTTTTTAAGAGGTGTGCTTTTGTATTTTGCTTCACTTGGAACCTTGGTCCGTCTTCGGCTTAATTTGATTAATTGAACGATTTATTTTACAGTAATTTTTACTGAGGAGTTGACTTTAATTTTTGCACTTGATGTATTGAAATCAATTGTTTAATGATTGGTCGCTTATTTCAAAAATAATAAAACATAGAGGAGTTATCAAAGTATAAGAGCAATCAGACGATCAATCATATAGATATCTTTCTATGAGCTGTACGAACATGGACTATCATCAAATCTAGTTGTATGATTAATCTAATCGGATCATCTAATTGTGTTACAAATTAGTATATAACTTGATGAAATTTAACCATGAATGAACTGTGGTAGACGTGATTGAAGTAAACTACTAAAACTCTCGGCAATCGAGTTTTGAATCCACCTGAACCAGTTTCTTTTCTTTTACCACTTTAATTGAAAAATAAGTTTGACACGATAGAAGTAAACTCCTCTGTCCACGCATTCGCATATGATAATGATAGCAATATTCAGCAAAGTTTGACCTTCTGAATTCGGATTCACATCTACAAACGTTATGTTCAACAAAACCTACTTCCACCGCTAGGCTATACAAAACCTTAATTTCCTGGAGAATCTCTCCGGTGGCATTGTAATGATTTGACTCGTTTGTAGGATGTGGACCGCTAGACTCAGCAGGGAGACCAAAAAGCTTTTTTAATGATCAGGAACGTGGTATTCTAGTCAACCCCTCGTACACATTTAAAAATGATTGAGCCTTGTGATAAGAGAATTGTGGCGAAATTTTCCGAAGACTTTTTATCTGTTTGGCGGGATTAATATTAGACTGCGACTAGTTTATAATGTAATTCAGTTAATAATAATTAGTACTTTTCCGTGTGTTGCACCATGTATAGAGATCTGATTGTTACAAACTTCTCCAATTAATAATTTATTTAAAACCACCATTGTAGAAACTATTAAGAGAAGATATTATTTATAGATGTAACAGATGAATGCTAGCATAAAATGACAAAATTAGTGACATTATTAATAAAGAGAAATAAATAAAATATATATACACCCGCGAAGTCATAAACCTTTCTAAAAAACGGCTCTTTCTACTGGGTCATTAGGTTACCGGGTTGAACCGGTTAAACTGTTCTAAAAAAAAGAATGACATTATCATGAAGTTATAAATATATTAAATATATAATATATATTTACCAATGAAATAGATTTAAATCAGTAAGTATTTAAGTTTCTAATAAATTTAAAAGTCAAAATTGTGAACTATGAAACTTATAAGGTAAATAATAATAATCTAAATAATAAGGTCCTAACATAATAACTATATATAACCCAGGCTGTAAATCACGAAGACCCATTCTCCTCCCTAAATGGTCACCGCTAGCATCCAGTTCCCTTTCACAAATACTTTCAATGCTAGTCAAGCTATTTTTCTGAAGAAAAAAAAAAAATCTTGAAGTTAAACATACATTTGTAAACAAATTGATTTGTCCACAATAAAATGATTTGTACTCCCAACAACAAGAAAAAGAAGGAAACATGAGTACTCCATAAAATGATGGGTTATTTATAGACATACAAAATACACAAGAAGTGCTTAAAAATAATCAATATTTGATCAACAGTAACAACAAACTAATTCATACAATTTCTGTAATTTACGTGATCTAATACTTTCACCGTCATATAATGATGTGATCTACTACAATTTAGTTGCTTCCACTAAGTTATCCACCCAAAGAAAAAAGAAAAAAAAAACGGAAGAAGAAGATTCTCATCAAACTAAATTCCAGCCCTAATGCTAATATTAAAATTCTTTAATGCAATCAACCACATGAAAGTAATCTAGACTGCACCTACAATTTATCCCATAAAAAAGTATTGAGGCCATACAAACTTATATGTTTAGGCAAAATATTGAGGATGTGCAAATTTATGAAAATGAAGGGACATACAAATTAAAAAAATACCTTCTTTAATTTTTTTTGAGACTAAAGAATATAAAAAAAATTATCCCATCAAAAAAGTTCTACAAATCAATAAGATGTGTATTGTAATTTGTAGAACACCAAATTAGCAAAAATAAATCCACTTACTCTTACTGCTTCGTTCACTCGTAACCATTCATATTAGTTATCTCTGACGGCATGTTAATTATGAATAAATTTTGATAGATTTAATTGTTTCACACTGAGTCCCAAAGTACAGGTTTTACACTTCTGTCTTCAGTACTTGCCGTAGGGAGCTTGTTTTGAAAACAGGACCAGAAGGTGAACCGTTAATGT